AGATTTACTTTTATCCAAATCCCCTGCATAGTCAGAATCTACATAACCATTGATTAGTAGGTTTGATCATCCGTAACATAATGCAACATTTGAGGTCCCTTTGATGTATCTGAGGATCCTCTTTACAATATTCCAATACTCTTTGCCTGGATTCGCCATGTACCGACTAACCACTCCCACAGCTTGTGCAATGTCTGGTCTTGTGCATATCATAGCGAACATTAAACTTCCCACTACTGATGCATACGGTACTCGAGACATCTTCATCCTCTCTTCTTCATTGCTAGGACTCATACTGGAGGATAATTTGAAGTTAATAGGAAGAGGGGTAGAAATTGGCTTACAATCTTGCATGTTGAATCGTGACAAGATCTTCTTCAAGTAATTCTTTTGTGAAAGCCAAATTTTGCTATTACTTCTGTCTCGGTGAATTTGCATCCCTAGAATCTTGTTTGCTGATCCCAAGTCCTTCATTTCAAATTCCCTAGCCAGTTGTGCCTTCAATTTTTCAATATAATCTTTGTTGGGTCCTGCAACCAACATGTCATCCACATACAACAGCAATATAACAAAATCGTTATCACCAGACCTCTTAAAATAAGCACAAGGGTCTGCATTAAGTCTGTTGTATCCAAGGCACATAATGAATGAATCAAATCTCTTATACCAACACCTCGGCGCCTGCTTTAGATCGTACAGAGATTTGTTCAACATGCAAACCAAGTTCTTCTTTTCTTTTTCTTCAAAACCTTCAGGCTGGAGCATGTAAATCTCTTCTTCAAGATTTCCATGAAGACAAGTTGTTTTAACATCTAGCTGCTCTAGATGTAAGTTCAATGTAGCACACATTGCCAAAACTACTCGAACTGTTGTTAGTTGAACCACAGGAGAAAATATTTCATTGAAATCAATACCTTATTTTTGAGCATATCCTTTGACCACCAGTCTTGCACGATACCTCTCAACTTGATCGTCACCATTTCGCTTGATTTTGAAGACCCATTTGTTGCCAATTGGCTTCCTTTCTTGTGGTAGTGGCACAAGGTCCTATGTATTATTTTTATGAAGGGCTTCGATTTCTTCTTGCATCGCCATCATCCACAGTGAAACATCTGAGCTGTTTATTGCCTCCTGGTATGTTGATGGCTCAATGTCCTCTGTTAAAAGGCAGTATGCAATATTACCTTCAATAACATAATCTGAGTGCCAATTGGGACGTCTTCTCACACGATCTGATTGACGAGTTGTTGGAGCTTCAGAACTCTCTGGTTCTTGTTCATCATGTGCTGGTTCTGCTTCAGAAGAATCTCCTTCTTCAAACTCTTTTTCCACATATATCTGAGTAGTCTCTGACTTTTCAGCGCTATCATCGTCTTCTTTTCTTTGTAGTTTATCTTCTACAAAGATAACATCTCTACTAATGATCACTTTGCGGGCAATGGGATCCCACAAGCGATACTCCTTTACTCCATCAGCATACCCCAAGAATTTGCATTTCCTGGATTTTGGATCCAACTTTGAAATTTCTTGGGAGTTGTACATCACGTACACTATACTTCCAAATATATAGAGGTTTGAATAATCAGCTGGTTTTCCAGTCCACATCTCCATTGGTGTCTTCAGCTCTATTGCAGTTGATGGAGCTCGATTCACCAAATAACAGGCGGTATTGACTGCTTCTGCCCAAAATGATTTTTCTAGGCCTGCATCCCTCAACATTGCTCTTGTTCTTTCTAACAAGGTTCTGTTCATCCGCTCTGCCACTCCATTTTGTTGAGGAGTGTTCGCCACTGTGAACTGTCTTTTGATGCCTTCTTTTCTGCAAAAGTCATCAAATTCTTCGCTTGTGTATTCTCCTCCATTATCTGTTCTGAAACACTTGATCTTATTTCCATAATCAAGTTCACCCGCGCTTTGAAGTTTTTGAAAGTTGAAAACACGTCTGACTTTTTCTTAATAGGGTGCACCCAACATCTCCTGGAGTAGTCATCAATAAATGAGACAAAGTATTTTGCTCCACCTAGGGACGTTACTAGTGCTTGTCATACGTCAGAGTGAAACAATTCTAGAACACTTTTGCCTCTAGAATTTGATGTGTTGAATTTCAACCGGTGTTGTTTACTTGTTATGCAATGCTCACACAAAGGAAGTGATACCTTTGTTAAGCCTGGAAGTAGTTTTTTCTCCGCAAGGACTTTCATTCCTTGTTCTGACATGTGTCCAAGTTTCTGATGCCATAGCATTGTCGAATCTGAACTACATGAGGCAATAGAGGCTTCTGCTTCTACCAAAGTTTCTCCCTTCAGCATGTACAAGTTTGCATCTATTTTTCCGCCTTTCAGCACCACAAGCGCTCCACGGAACACCTTCATGATTCCTTTTCGTGTTTCAATCTTGCTTGTATTATTATCCAACAATCCGTAGGATAATAAATTTTTCTTCAGGCCTTTCATGTGCCACACATCTCGAACAACTTTAATTGTTCCGTCATACATCTTCAATTTGATGGTTCCCACGCCAACGATCTCTAAGGCATGATCATTGCAACTATAAACAGATCCTCCTGAGACAGGTTCATAATGATGGAACCATTCTCTTCTTGAGGTCATGTGATATGTTGCTCCTGAATCAATGAGCCATATATCTGCAAATCATTTTCTTCCTTCCACGGTGGTTGACGCTTCACAGCATAGAGCATCTCCATCATCTGAAGTGTTTGCGGTATTGCCTTGTGGATTGGAGTTTTTATTTAGACTCCAATAATCCTTCTTCAAATGACCCTTCTTTCCACAGTTGTAACACTTTAAATTCTTCTTGCTCCTCGACTTCGATCTACCATGTTTGTGACTGCTGCTTTGGCCACGTTCTGTTGATCTCCCTCTCATCGTTGTCAACGCTTCTGCTTGTTGCAGATTTACTTGTCTGTCTTCCTTGTTCTTGCGCCGATTTTCTTCTTGTAGAACAACAGCTGCAACATCATCAAAGACTAGACTAGTGACATTACTGTTTGTCAAGTTGATGATGAGTTGATCATACGAATCCAGTAGACTTTGAAGTAGAAGTTCAGCACGTTCTTATTCTCCTATTTTACAACTTAAGGATGTAAGCTGAGAAAATAAAGTATTCAGTGTATTTAAGTGCTCCGTCACTGAAGTAGATTCTGGCATACGGAGAGTGTACAATTTTCTCTTAAGGAAAATTTTATTGTGCATCGATGTGGCCTCGTACAATTTGGTGAGATGGTCTCATATCTCCTTAGCTGTCTTCTTCTCCTCGATGCTTGACAATACTTCATCTGCTAATGCTAGATGAAAGTTTGCCATAGTATTCCCGTCCATTTCGATCCATTTGTTGTCATCTGTGAAATCCACTGGCCTTTCACTGATAGTTGCTAGACAACCGTCTTTCCTCATGATGGCCTTCATCTTCAATTTCCACAATGAGAAATTTCTGCCATTGAATTTTTCAATATCAAATTTCGTTGCCATACCTTCTATTATTGATAGCTCCCACTATTTCACTATCGTGAATAGTTCTCTAGAACCTCAAAGAATGGGTAATACCTTCTTATTTTCTTATATTGGAGGATCCACCTTTTGGTGGCAACCACAAAGACAATAAGCAGATATTACACACTCAAATCTGGCTCGGATACCAATTGTTGCGGAAGACGGCTATCAGATAGAGCAAAATCGCAACTGATAATTTGAGAAAATAAAAATGAAGATAAAAGAAACACAAAATTGACGTGGAAAATCCCTAAAAATTTAGGGTAAAAACCACGGGTAATGGTAGAAGAATTTCACTATGAGAAAATAGGAATTACAACCTCTCTCGATCTACCAAGGAGAAAACAATGATAATTCTCTCTAGATAAAAAGGAGAAAACAACTATCAAGAAACTCTCTAAAATCTCTCTAGTATTGGAAGAAAGCTAGAATGTTTTGAGATGATTTTGAAGCTAAATGAGCTAGGGTATTTATAGTTGAAACTTAAGGACTAATCTTATAAATACCCTAAATTACAATGACTAAAATTAATTATTCAATTACCTAATTTCAACAAAAATTAGGTGCCTAATTTTTAACTTTGACAAAACACAATTTGATGCCTAATTTAGTTCCTAAATTATTTGACTTTTAACACAAATGATGATCATTAAATGCAAATATGATTATATAATATAGATGATAGACCGAAAAGGTATATATATATGAACATATGGTATCAGTTAACAGTAGGTTGAGATGATCATTAATTACCAAAAGATAAAAGGCCTTTAATGGAATTGATTAAGGTAATCCGGTACATTAAAACATCTATTTTATGAAATGTTAAAAATTGTTTATAAAGATGGATTCCTCTGGCTGGCCTGCTACTTTTGAAATATCATAGAAAAAGAGAACGTATTTAGCCAGTTTTCCCTCTTTATTTTTCTAAAACCGAATGGACTCTGATCTTGTTTAAAGCAAGATCTGAGATCTAATCATCTTAAACTGTTGATAATCGTATTGTTCCGGTGGATGATCAGGTGGGGGAATCTTCCCGACATATATATATATATATATTGCCGATATATAAAGTATGCAAATCTTTTAGTACTGTGTATTAAAATAATGAAGAAAAATACAAGAAAATGTAAAGCATAGTAGTAATTGTGACTTTCGGGGGGGGGGGGGGACCTTTCCACGGGTCCTATGGGCCATGGCGTTTCATTACCTCCGATCATAATCATTAATGGCATGGAGCCAATACAGAACCTGTTAAATAAATATAATAATCTCCTTTTCTTTTTCTCTCACTTTCTGTTCATGTTGTTGCAGTAGTGCGATTGAAGTTGTCTTGTCAGTTCGAGTGAAAAAGACTGTGGGAGACAACCAACAATCTTACAAAGGACTATGAACAGTTTTGACATGTCATCTTTTGTGGGTCCAAAACCATCCACATTTTAACAATTTAACTATATTTATACCCACCATTTCCATTCATTCATATCACCCACTCTCATTTGTGAACTTGATCACTGTGTTTCAATGGCTGATGCTGGTGGTTCAGTCCCTGCCAAGGGGATGCTGTGTTCGGTCCCCGAAAGGCTTCAGCTTCACATGGCGATGCTGGCCTTGCAGTTTGGTTATGCAGGGTTCCATGTGGTTTCAAGAGCTGCCCTTAATATGGGTGTTAGCAAACTTGTGTTCCCAGTTTATAGGAACATCATTGCTTTGCTTCTGCTCTTACCATTTGCTTATTTTCTTGAAAAGTAATTCCTTCAACCCCATATTTCTTCTAAAAGCAGCTTTATGAACAAAACCCGAACTTGTTTTTTCAAATGTTCGTTCTTTTTTCCAGGAAGGAGAGACCGACCATCACTCTAAATTTTCTTCTGCAGTTCTTCCTCTTAGCTCTTGTTGGGTAATGCAAGACCATGCATGTTCTTAAAACTCTTACCATAGCGTAATGAAAGCAAAACTAATGGCCTGTTTTTTCACATGACAGAATCACAGCCAATCAGGGTTTCTACTTGTTGGGTTTAGACAACACATCACCAACCTTTGCATCAGCAATCCAGAACTCTGTCCCTGCCATTACCTTTCTCATGGCAGCCATACTAAGGTAAACCTATATATATATATATATAAACATGAAAATGACATTTAATCATGTGTGTGATTTTTGTTGTTGTTGTTGTTGATATCAGGATAGAGAAAGTGAGGCTAGATAGAAAAGATGGGATATCCAAGGTTATTGGAACAATCTTATGTGTGGCCGGAGCATCGGTTATAACACTATACAAAGGTCCAACCATATACACCCCGGTTCCACCTCTAAACAAACCCACACCGATGTTTGTTTCACTAGGGGACGCAAATGGAAAGAACTGGACCCTCGGTTGTCTCTATCTAATCGGCCATTGCCTATCCTGGTCCGGTTGGCTGGTGTTGCAGGCACCGCTGTTGAAGAAGTACCCGGCTCGACTCTCTGTCACATCCTACACATGTTTCTTCGGTCTCATCCAGTTCCTCGTCATCGCGTTAGTTTTCGAGAGAGACTCTCAAGCCTGGATGTTCCACTCCGGCGGAGAACTCTTCACTATTCTCTACGCGGTCAGTGCATTCTACCCTTTTCGATCCATCGAACAATAAAAATTAAATAACAGTATTAAATTTGTGCATGGAACATGCAGGGAGTGGTGGCATCAGGGATTGCATTTGCCGTACAGATATGGTGCATCGACAGAGGCGGCCCTGTTTTCGTTGCTGTTTATCAACCTGTTCAGACTCTTGTTGTCGCTATCATGGCATCCATTGCTTTAGGGGAAGAGTTCTATTTAGGAGGGTAAGTGCTTATAATCGTATTTAAACTGTTATTAATATAAATTTTGACACTTTTTTTTTTGCTTACAGAATAATCGGGGCAGTGCTGATTATAGTCGGACTGTACTTGGTTCTATGGGGAAAAAGCGAAGAGAGGAAGTTCGCTGCAAAAGAAAAGGAAGCCCTTGAATCTACGGCGGAGCAGGGGAACGGCAGCAGAACACCGAGCCTCACTCAGCCATTGCTCCACCACTCGACGGAAAACGTTTAACTCCAAAAGCCACAACTTTTTAACCATGGCGGAAACAACTAGACACTACCACTATTTCAGAAAGTTTGTGTGTAATTTCTTCTTTTTTTTATTAGTTAATGGCTTTCTCTAAGTAGCAGAGAGGGCTAAAGGAGAAGCTTTTTTTTTTGAAGTGGTGATTGATGATGATGATGATGCTCCCATATGCTTTTTGTATGTTGATTTGATGGTTTGATTTTAAGATAAAAAGATATGGAAAAAAATTTATGGAGTTATAGTGGAAACCATTAAGATGCATGATGGCATAAGCCATGCTGGTTTTCTTGATCATATGCCATCATGGCAAAAGAAACTAGGTTTTTTGTTGTTGATAAAATGTATCGACTGATTTTATTATAAAATGAAATAAGAAAAAGGTCGACCAGGGGCGACGTGGAACCAACATATTACAAGAAATAAATACAAGTAAAAAAAGTTTTTTAGAAGGCTGCAAAATGAAAATAAAAAACTAACAGAAAAACATGAAATAAACTCTCCCGAGGAGAGAAACTGCCCATACTCACTCCAATCTAAGAGAAAGAAGAAATTGAAGGCACGTGATAGGACATCAAAGACTAGGGGGCCACCGATAAATATAATATATTCATTATCAACATGTAAATTTTTCTTTCTCAGATACAAAATGAACTAAAATCAAAATAAAAGTTCAAAAACGGCCTTTAAAAGGCCCCATTGCAAAATCAGAGCTTTAACAGACCATTCATGAAAAGAGGCAATCATGCAAACTACGGAATGTGCATGAACATTTAGATGCACCAAAAGGGCCATTGTCAAAACCTTTACAGAGACGCGGGCAGCGACTATACTGTCAATCATGACGAGGCCTTATAACGAAACCACATTCCGCAACAAAAATGTAACGGTTTTCTGCAGAAATTCTTCAAATTTTTTATTCTTCAGCTTTTCAAAAAGTCCTTCAAAGAAAACAGTGGTCGCACATCCTACAAAACCGAATCGAGTTTAATGTTACATTCAGACCATGTATTCATTACACAAAAACAGCTACTGATTACCTTTCCATGCTCTTGATTTAAGCATTGTCTAACTACTGTTGTTTGTTGTATCAGTCGTTCCATTGCCGTATAGGTTGGATGGTTTGCATAAGCTGACATTATTCATGATGCAGAATAATTGTACATGTAAAAGAAAGAATAATCAGCAGATAGCCATAAGATGAATCTATACAACATTAAGAAAAGGTTAATGTTGCAATAAGTAGTTGTAACTTGTAAGAACTAATAATACCAAGAATTGCTCGATTTAAACTATCTGCAACATGCTGTCGGTACTCCAACTTAAGCAGGTGAAACATCGGAGATTTCTCTGGTTCCTCGTATGCAAGCAAAGCCATGAAATCCTGCAGTAACAGCATCTCTTTCAATATCCGACAGAGAGATTAGAAGTGTGCAAAATTTGCTAAGTTAACATACTTCAAGCTTTTCAACATATTTTTGCTCCTTCCCAAAAGGGGTCAACTTCATCTGTGCAAATTCCAGAGCTTCTGTGCTGTAATAGAAGTGATTTTTTTCAGCTATAGATTATCTGCTATTAATAATTCAAGAGATATCTTATTCTCTTCTCACCATTTCCTAGAGCATACAAGCTCAACGAAATGAAGGCTTAGAAGATCAAATTACAGGTCCTTATTTTCTCTAGTAAGTTTGTCGCCAGCTGTTCAATTAATTCAATTGCCTTAAGTGCATTACCCTTTGAAGCAAATTGATAAATTCCTGCACAAAATTACAACACGATTTTCAGTACTTTGAGACTATAAAAGAGGGGTGACTGTAAACTACTACACAGAAGATATGATTTGTGGTAGTAAGATCACTGCTAAGTACACAACTCTGTAGGCAAGAATGAATTTTTTCTTTTTTCTTTTGTAGTTCCATGAAAATATTTCAAAAGAATTGTATTAGCATCAAGCATGCAGAAGTAAGCTATCGGTTTTTGCAGAACTTAGTAAGCTAGGCCACTAAACCGCATGTTAGCCAAATTTCAGCTTTTATGTCAAATACTTCACAGCCCTTTAGCTTTTCTAGACACATACCCACGTGCATGCTACTAATGTTGTCCAACTTGTCATATTTCTTGAAGTAACAGCATTCGACATGCGTCTGGCACATATACAAACATGGGTATGAGAATATGACCCTCCCAATACATGGAAAAATTAAGACAAAATTGAACATGCCACACATTGCCATATCGAACACACTCGAGTCTGAGTAACATAGCATGCTAGTTCACATTTGACACTTCCAGTAAATAAGCATAAGATAGAACCAGTCATTAGAAAACCCACATCTTTCAAAATTAACAGATTTCATGGTTGCATATATGGGCTCCAGCATAATAATCCTAGGTTATCAATATCTTATGCATAAATTTATCGAGTGAGAAAATTTCCCCTACTTTTTCTTTTTTCCATGTCCTCAAGATGATCAGAAGGTTGCTTCATCCCAGTACAAGCAATAAAAGATTCCACGGTTTCTTTAAAGCAATTGTGCACAAGATACGACATAACGATGTTGCGGATGTCATTATCATTGACTGCCTGTAAAAAACAGATGGAAATGGAAGCCCAGATATAAGAAGCTAAGTCTACTGGAGGGACATAAGTATAGCATAGGCTAGGACACGAAAATGAAGAAACAGCTGAAAAATGATACAAACCAAATTGGATGATTCATCAAAAATCAACTGAAAATGAAGAAAACTATTTTAAGTTGTGAGCTATGACACTACAAACTATAGGCTAGGACACGATAGCATAACCTTACATTAACTGTATAAATTATTGCGATAGGAAACAGCTGAAACAATTCCATTACGCACCCAAAAACACGAAACAAATTAAAACTTAGATGCACACCAGACCAAACAACCCCAAAACAATCTGCGGCCAAGACCAACAATTATACAAAAACTATCTTTCCAAATGTATATTCAAGACATGAACTTGTGGGGTAGCACTAACCTTCCAAGCCAAGGTTCTATCCATAGAGTAAAGGTTTAACTTCCGAACCCATTTATAGGTCAACCATAACAGTATAACCCCGAGAGCCTTACATATTGGAACTATTACAAAACCAAACGAATGCACATTTAATATAACCCACAATTAATTCAGAATCCATTATTACAAAATTGTTCTTGGAATTAGTTTCGACCTAAATAGAGAGAAAATTTAGGTGGCGTTTGGTTCGCTGGAATGTTTCTGAGGGAATTGGAATCTATGAAGGAATTGGAATCTGTCAGGAATTGGAATCCAACTCCATATTCTGTTTGATTGGCAGGAAATTGAATTGGAATCCAATTCCATATTCTGTTTGGTTCTCAGACATGTCAGATGAATTTGATTTCAGTAATGTAAAATGACAGGATTGCCCTTCTTGTTTTTTTTGTTTAATTTTAGTTTATTTTATAAATTACATGTAGCAATATATTATAAAAATTTTTAAAAATATTAAATTTTAATTTTATTGATTAATTATTCATTTCAATAAATTATAAAAATCATGCTAATAAACATCATAAGTTAAAATCATCCCAATTAGGGATGGCCATGGGTCGGGTTTTTGGTCCACCCGACCCGACCCGAGAACAAGGGAACCTCCATCCGAGACCCGACCCAACCAAAATAAAGTTTCACCCGACCCGATCCGAATATATGAATTAGAAACCCGACCCGAAATAATAAAAAATTATTTTTATTCAATAAAAACAGTGACTTAATTGAAAAAAAATTATATATAGAGGGGTATCATTATAATTATTCCTAAATATATAAGGTAAAATTATATATTTTTTGGGTCGGGTCGGGTATTTTTCACCCTAAACCCGAACCCGACCCGATTATCACACTTAAAAAAAATCGACCCGACCCGACTAAAATAAAGTTTCACCATACCCGACCCGAATATATGAATTAGAAACCCGACCCGAAATAATAAAAAAATTATTTTTATTCAATAAAAACAATGACTTAATTGAAAAAAATTATATATAGAGGGATATTATTATAATTATTCCTAAATATATAAGGTAAATATATATATATATTTTGGTCGAGTATTTTTCACCCTAAACCCGAACTCGACCCGAATATCACACTTAAAATAACCGACCGACCCGACCAAAAATAAAGTTTAACCCGACCCGACCTGAATATATGAATTAGAAACCCGACCCGACCTGAAATAATAAAAAAATATTTTTATTCAATATATGAATAAATTACCAAAAGATTGATGAGGGTAGTATGATCAAATTTCAATTCCCTCCAATTAGGGAATTGAATTTCATCATAGAATGAATGTAATTCACTTTCTCTCATTTGATGGAAAGTTGAAGTCACGAGGGATTCCAATTCCCTTTGAAAACTTGAACCAAACATGAGAAAGTGGTGTAATTGGATTCTAATTCCCCCTAATTCAAAGGGATTCCTGCGAACCAAACATTACCTTAGAAAGCCTAGCAAACCCTCATAGTTAACAAAAAAATCCATATGAACCCATTAAACTACACCAAACTGTTTAAACATCATAATTGCACAATACCCTAACTTCTTATAATTCAATAATGAAAGAAAATACATCAGGTTTGGGATTATTCTAGAAAAAAATAAAATTTCTGCAACAATGCAATTAACCAAACATATTGAATGCATAAAACAATATAAACATTTGGCGAAAAAAACCCAAATTTTAGAACTGAAAACATAATGGGAGAAGCTTTGGGGTATTGGTGTTTGAAGTCAATGGTAAGTAAAGAGGATGGGTGTTTTCGTGGAATATATTAGCCCCCTTTTTTTTAGAGTAATCAGATAGAACTGTTATTGCTTTGCATGAAGTACACGTGCCCCTTCCAGATTCCCAGTTTTTTATAGGATAAACTACACTTTTAGTATCTAAATTATTACTTCTGATCCATTTTGGTCTCTCAACTTTATTATGTTTCAATATCATACTTAACGTTTAGTTTAGCTGTCAATTTGTTACCCACCATTAAATTAACATAACTGTTGATATGGTATTTTAAAAAAAAAAATTCAATGATGACATGGAGTTATCTTATGGTGGCACATCAACACCACCATTAAGTTTTTAATGGTGGGGTACCAAAATGAAACATAAACTAACATTAAGTGTAGTTTTGAAATAAATAAATTTTAAATACCAAAACAGAATAAAAATAAAATTTTAGATA